TTCTTATTCTTATTATTATTTAATTTAGAATTTTCTCCACCCCCATACCCTTTGTTATCCCCATTCAATGATGATGATGATGGTGGTACGAATGGTGATGACGGTGGATGTGGTGGTAGTGGTGATGATTGTAGTCGCGACGACGTTGTCGTCGGTGTTGATGATAGTTGTAGAGACGTAACTGGCGATGATGATGTTGATGATGACGGAGCAATTTTTTGATCATATTTAGTAAGGTTGGATTTCTTCCAAGTTGTTGTCATTGTTGTTGATGTTGTTGTTGTAGTTGATGATGTTGATGTTGTTGATGATGATGATGATGTTGATGTTGTTGTTGATAATGATGATGATGTTGATTGGTTAGTTGTACTCTGCAGATCACCATTCAACTTGTTACTATTATAATTTATACTATAATTATTACTATTATTGATTTTATTATAATTATTATTTTCTTCTTCATCATCATCATCACCACCACCATCATCATCATCACCACTACAGTCGTCATCATTATCATAACGGTTGTAAGATATTTTTAAATTGTTCAGGGTGTTGATCAACTCTGTTGTTGTTTTTGTTGCTGATGATGATGCGGCTTTTTGTAGTTGTTTTGGTAGTTGTTGTTGATGTTGTCGTAGTTGTTGTTGCTGTCTTGGTTGATGATGTTGTTGATGATGATGTTGTTGTTGTTGTTGATGATGTTGTTGTTGTTGTTGTTGCTGAGATCTCGGAGTCACCAATTGTGGTCCATTCAACCTCTCAATTAGCGTACTGCAAACAAATTCAAATATTTTATATGAACTTGACAAGCAAACTAGCAAACAAACAAACAAGCAAACAAAACAACCAACAAACAAACAAACGAAAAACCAACCAACAAACAAACAAACAACGAACGAAAAACCAACCAACAAACAAACAAACGAACGAACGAACAAACGAAAAAATGAAATAAGAAAAAAAACCAACTAGTTGACGTTGGTTGATGGAATTGACTTCACTGGATTTTCTGAATGGTGGTGATGATGTTATAATGGTGATGATGATGATGATGTTATAATGGTGATGATGATGATGATGTTATAATGGTGGTGATGATGATGATGTTATAATGGTGGTGATGATGCTATAATGGTGGTGATGATGATGATGTTAAATAAAATGATGGTGATATGACGTCATCCTCATCATTATCACCGCTATCATCATCATCATCAACATCATCATTATCATCATCATCACTATCATCATCTTCATCGTCATCACTATCATCATCATCTTCATCATCATCACCACCTGGCATCCAGGCCGCTTTATTCCTTTTTGGGAGAAGTTTCTGGTGCTGGTCTCTGGGAGTTGGAGTGATTGAAAAGTTGATTGATTGATTTACCAACACACATACAAACACGACCAACATACAAACACGAACAAACATACAAACACAAACAAACATACAAACAAACACGAACAAACATACAAACAAACACGAACAAACATGCAATCACAAAAATACAAACAACAACAAACATACAAACACCAACGTATAAACACGAACAAACATACAAACATCAACATACAAACACCAACAAACATACAAACACCAACATACAAACAAAACACCAACAAACATAAAAAACACCAACATACAAACAAACAAACACGAACAAACATACAAACAAACAAACAAACAACGACAAACATACAAACCCAAACAAAGCCTCCCTCCCAGTAGATGGAGCTGATACGACCCTAGCGACGACGCCATTATTATTATTCTTATTAATTTTATCATTATTATTATTACTGTTATCATCATCATCATCGTCATAATTGAACCTGCAACTAGTATAGCTCCGATTGCTATTTGAAACAGTATTCCTGGCGAAAATACTCTCATCAAAAACTCTACTGTTTTTATTATTATCATTATTATTAATGAGGTCATGAATATTAATGAGGTCATTAGCATTATTAACGATGACGTCATCGTCGCCATCAGGACAGCGACCATACGCCAGGCAGAAGAGATCGACGAAGAGGCACATGACGTTTGGGGTGAGTTGGTTGGGGCAGTGAAACAGGTCGTGGATTGTTAGGTGTATCAGTGGAGGGGGTGTGGGTGTGGGTGGTGATGGTGGCGAGTGCTGCCTGTCTAGAGCAGTCACGAATAACTGGAGGTTGTGTAGGGAGTCGGCTATGCCCGGTGGATCGTTCAAAGAAATGTCTGTGTGTGCGTGCGTGTGCGTGTGTGTGTGGGTGTCTGTTCTGTGTGTGTGTGTGTGTGTGTGTAAGTGTGTGTGTGTGTGTGTGGTGTGTGTGCGCGCGTGTGT